GTGGTACGCTGCACGTCAGCGAGGTGGGGGTGCTGGTCCGTGTACCTACGTCCTGCGCACCGGCGACCGCGCGGGTGAGCCGTGCGGGGGTTCGCACTCCACCCAGCGCTGCTTTGGCCGCCTGACGGACGCTTGGCGTCACCAGTTCCCTGAGGCCACTGAGATCCCTCGCTGGGGCGAGCTGTCTAGGGCGGGGGTTCCTATCTTTGATCTTGATTATGATGCTATTCTTGCTGCCATGTATGCTGTGACTATTAGTGATGAGGGTGACTGTTACCGGTGTTTTCCGCCCGACCCGGGCATTGGTACTGCTGCTCTAGGTACTGGTGAGGCTGCTGCTCTAGGTACTGGTGAGGCTGCTGCTCTAGGTGCCAGTGAGTCTGCTTCCTCAGGTGCTGGTGAGCCTGCTCTCTCAGGTCTTCACCAGTTCACTCCTGCGAGCCAGCGTGTGACCCACTGCACGGACGCTCGGACGGGCCGACACTTGGCCACGTTTACACGTCGGCCGGGGTCGAGCCTGTACACACTGACCACTGAGTCTCCTCCAGTCACTGCGTCTGGTCAGGCAGCTGCGTCGGGTCAGGTGTTTACTGCAGCGTCCAGGTCTGGTCCTGAGTCTGCCCCCTGCTCGTGTCGCCTCCTGTCTCACGAGACTCTCCTCTGGCACCACCGCCTTGGTCACCCCTCCCTGCCTCGTCTCCGAGGCATGGCCTCTCGTGTCCTTGTCTCTAGTCTTCCCCGGTCCCTCCCTCCCCTTCCTCCGGGGCCTGCCCCTACCTGCGTCCCCTGTGTCGAGGGGCGGCAGCGTGCTGCCCCTCACTCCTCCCAGTTTCCTCCGACAGAGGCCCCGCTGCAGACGCTTCACATGGACGTGTGGGGCCCAGCCCGCGTCCGTGGACAGGGTCACGAGCGCTACTTCCTGCTGGTGGTTGACGACTACTCGCGTTACACCACAGTCTTCCCCTTGCGCAGCAAGGGTGATGTCACTGAGGTGTTGATCGACTGGATCCGCGCAGCTCGTCTCCAGCTCAGGAAGAGTTTCGGCTCGGACTTTCCTGTTCTGCGTCTGCACTCTGACAGAGGCGGGGAGTTCTCCTCGGGCCTTCTGCGAGCCTACTGTCGTGCACGAGGCATCCGCCAGACCTTCACGCTTCCGGACTCTCCACAGCAAAATGGGATTGCTGAGCGCCGCATTGGCATGGTCATGGACGTCGCCCGTACGTCCATGATGCATGCGGCTGCCCCCCATTTTCTGTGGCCGTTTGCGGTTCGGTACGCGGCGCATCAGATCAACCTTCAGCCCAGGGTCTCCATGCCGGAGGCCTCCCCAGCTTTGCTGTGGACGGGGAAGGTTGGCGATGCGTCTGCGTTCCGTGTCTGGGGATCTCGGGCGTTTGTCCGCGACTTGTCTGCGGACAAGCTGTCCCCTCGTGCTGCTCCCTGCGTCTTCCTTGGCTTCCCCCCTGACGCGCCAGGGTGGCAGTTCTACCACCCCACCTCTCGCCGTGTTCTGTCCTCCCAGGACGTCACGTTTGACGAGTCGGTGCCCTACTACCGCCTCTTCCCCTACCGCACTCCGTCCCTCCCCCCGCCACCGCTCTTCCTCGTGCCAAGTCCCCCCCCGGTAGACCCCCTTCCCCCTCAGGGTCCTGCCCCTTCAGGTGTGTCCCAGGTAGACGCAGTCGAGCCTGCTGAGGTAGCTGGTGACTCTGGTGCTGCTAGGGGTGCTGAGCCTGGGGGTGCTGACTCTGGGGGTGCTGAGCGTGTGGGTGCTACGCCTGGGGGTGCTGAGCCTGGGGGTGCTGTTCCTGGGGGTACTACGCCTGGGGGTGCTGCGCCTGGGGGTGCTGATTCTGGGGGTGCTGAGCCTGGGGGTGCTACGACTGGGGGTGCTGAGCCTGGGGGTGCTCAGCCTGGAGTTGCGGAGCCTGCGGGAGCTGGGCCTACTCGTGTGGCGTCTGGCGGTGCTGGGCCTGGAGGTTCTCCGGGTGCTCCGTCTCGACGGGAGCCACTCTCTCCACAGGAGGTGCGTGAGTGGTTTGCCCGGCGCTGGAGGCGTGCTGCTGGAGCTGGAGGTTCTTCGGCTGCTGAGGGTGCTGGTACCACGGGTCCCGGAGGTGCTCGTACTGGGAGTACTGGAGCTGCTGGGCCTGCGGGTACTACTGGAGCTGGGGCCACTGCGTCTTCTCGTGGTCCGACTGGAGCTGGAGCTGCTGAGGGTGTTGGCGCTGAGGGTACTGCTGGCGGTACTGGAGGCGGTCCTGCAGGGGGTGCTACTGGTGCTGCTGGAGGTCCTGGAGCTAGTGGAGCTGCTGGGGGTGCTGGAGCTGGCGGTGCTGTTGGCTCTGGTGCTGCCACTGGGGGTACTGGTGCTGTCCCTGCTGTGTCTGGAGTCGCTGCGCGACCTCGGCCGTACTTCGTTCCGCTCCTTGAGCAGGTTCTTGGTCTCCCGCCTTCTACTTGTCCTCCTCCTCCCTTAGAGTGTCCACAGCCTGTCCCCTCGCAGTTACAGTTACAGCCGGCCTCCCCACTGCCTGCTCCTTCTCCCTACACTGGTCCTACTGGAGGTCTTGCTGAGCGTCGTGAGCCTGCGTTTCGCCCTGTGTCGCCTGTCCGTGCTGCTCGCGCTAGTGGTCGTGGTTCGCGTCAACGTCCTCCTCCTGTCCCTGGCACGCACCAGATGTCTCTGCGTCCGTCCACTGCTCCTCTGCGTGCCCCTTTGCCTTCTCCTCCTGAGTCCTCTCTTCCTGCTCTTGCCGACCCGGAGTCGGACTCTCTTCGTGCTGCCAGTCCGACTGTCACGCGTCTCCTTGCTACTGTTGTCACTGACCCTTCCTTTGAGTCCACTGCTGCGTCTGCCCTAGTTGCTGAGCTCGTCGACTTTGCTGCTCGCTGTCGTCTAGACTACGCTGCTAGTCTTGTTGCTGAGTCTGAGTCTGTCTGTCCTCCGTCCGTCGGGGGTGAGTGTGCCCTTGGCACGGACGTCCTTGAGGACAGGCAGGAGGAGTTCCAGTGTTTGGCTGCTGCTTCACCTCATCTCGTGTCCGTACTGCTTACCCCTGAGGGAGACCCGGATGCACTTGACATCCCGACTCCGCGCTCTTACGCGGAGGCGATAGAGGGTCCCTACTCCTCTCAGTGGCAGGCAGCTATGGACGCAGAGATGGCTTCCTGGAAGTCCACAGGCACCTACGTTGACGAGGTTCCCCCGCCTGGGGCGAACATCGTCAGTGGCATGTGGATTTTCAGGGTGAAGCGGCCGCCGGGTTCTCCGCCTGTCTTCAAGGCGCGTTACGTGGCTCGTGGCTTCAGTCAGCCGCAGGGAGTTGACTACTTTCAGACCTTCTCTCCCACCCCGAAGATGACCACTCTTCGGGTACTGCTGCACATAGCTGCTCACCGTGACTACGAGCTGCACTCTCTTGACTTCAGCACTGCTTTCTTGCAGGGCAGCCTGCACGAGGAGATCTGGCTGCGCCGCCCACTTGGCTTCACTGGGACTTTTCCTCCTGGCACCCAGTGGAGCCTCCGGCGGCCAGTCTACGGTCTCCGCCAGGCACCGCGTGAGTGGCACGACACACTGAGGACTGCACTTGCGGCTCTTGGGTTTGCTCCCTCTACTGCCGACCCGTCGCTGTTTCTGCGCACCGACACTTCTTTGCCGCCGTTCTACATCCTCGTGTACGTCGACGACTTGGTCTTTGCCACAGCTGACACTGCTGGACTCGCCCACGTGAAGTCCGAGCTGCAGAAGAGACACACGTGCACAGACCTGGGTGAACTGCGCAGCTACCTTGGCTTGCAGATCACCCGGGACAGAGCACAGCGCACCATTACCCTGACTCAGTCACACATGGTGCAGCAGGTCCTTCAGCGCTTCGGCTTCACGTACTCCTCGCCTCAGGCCACTCCTCTGCCTACTCGCCACTCGCTCTCAGCTCTGCCTTCGGATGAGTCCGTAGAGTCGAGTGGCCCGTACCCAGAGCTTGTTGGCTGCCTCATGTACCTGATGACCTGCACACGACCTGACCTTGCATACCCTCTTAGCATTCTCGCACGCTATGTTGCTCCTGGGAGACACAGACCGGAGCACATGGCTGCAGCGAAGAGGGTGTTGCGCTACTTGTGCAGTACGTCGGGCATGGGGCTTGTGCTTGGAGGGCAGAGTCCAGTGGTCCTCACTGGGCACGCAGACGCTTCTTGGGCTGACGACCAGGCTACGCAGCGTTCGTCACAGGGTTACACCTTCATCCTTGGTTCCGGCTCTGTTTCGTGGCGGGCTACCCGCTCGTCTTCTGTTCTCGACTCCAGTTGTGAGGCTGAGATCTACGCAGGGGCCATGGCTGCACAGGAGCTTCGCTGGCTCACCTACCTGCTGACTGACCTCGGAGAGCCGCCTCGTTCTCCTCCAGTGCTGTACGTAGACAACAAGGCCATGCTGACCTTGTGTCGGGAGCAGAGACTGGAGCACAGAACGAAGCACATTGCTCTTCGCTACTTCTTAGCTCGTGAGCTACAGCAGCGTGGTCAGCTGCGACTTGCGTACGTGGCCTCTCAGGCCAACACTGCTGATATCTTCACCAAGGCACTCGCGCCTTGTGATCATCAGCGCTTCTGTACTCAGCTGGGCCTTGTGCCTACCTTGCCTCACTTGCTCACTTCTTGACCTTGTTTGTACTGTTACATATATATATATACCTGCTCTTGCTTGTTTAGCCTTATATATATGTAATCTTGCATGTGAACTGGCCTTGTGGCCTTGAACTTGTGCTCAGAATGTGTGGTGACGTTGTGATCCACCCTGAGCTTGCTTTGCCTTGCTTTGCTTGACTGGTCTTGTGACCCCTTGCTCTCCCCCACTTTGCCTATGGGGGTGTGTCAAACTCATACACTATAGTCTGTGTAGGCTGTAGTGGGGTAGCTTATATGGGGTACAACACTTTAGGGTTTGGTACTTGTACTTCTCATGCTGCTCAGTTCAATCATTCCTCGTTTCATTTTCACACAAAGGCCACAAACACGCCCGCAGCATTGGCTCTCAGGTATGTGAGGTCGTTGAAATAGTTGTCGTTGGGATCCGCAGCCCCCAGCGAGAGGGAGAGCTCATCCACGCCGTCCGCCACGGCCTGATTAACGGCTGCGGCGATGTCTGTCTCCGTGCCGTAATGGCCCCCCTCGCTGTCCGTCCAGAAGATTTTATACACCGCGAGGCGCGCTGCAGGCGCCATGCCGCTCATCTGCCCGCCGCCCTGCATGCTCACAGGGTTCCCCGCCGCCGCGCCCGCGCACCACGTGCCGTGACCGTCCCCGTCGCGTGGCGAGAGCCAGTCGTTTTTCAGTGAGGGCTTGCCGCTCAACTGCTGAAACCCCGCGTAGAACGCCTTAGCGCCAATCACCTTGTTGTTGCACCGGAACGAGCTGGACTGCTCGCATTTACCCTTCCACCCGGCCGGGAGTTTTGAGCTCATCCCTTTATCGCTAAAAGAGGGGTGTTCGGGCCAGATGCCTGAATCTATGATCCCCACAACCGTGCCTTCGCCTGCCTTGCTCTGCCCCCCAAGCGCTGGCCACACCTTCCCAGGGAGCCCGAGGAATTTGGGCGAATCGTTGGTCTGGCGGCGGAACACGCGGCTCGGGCGCACGGACGCCATCGCGAAATCTCTTGTGGGCACAAAATGTACACGGTAGCTTTTCTTGCGGAAAAGCTGCGGAAAACCTTCGGAAAAACGCCCAGGGTGAAAGTTGCGAGAATGTCACCTGTATGGCGCAACAAAACAGCTACGGAAATGTCACTTTCACCCCTCAAATGTGCACACCCACTTGTGTCTCGCGTGTTAAAGAGCGTTACAGTGCGGTTTAGGGAGTTAAGGTTGGCGGCAATTTCGCACAGCTGACGAAATGTTACTTGTGTGACCGAAATTTCTCCGAGCTGAAATTGAAACGACCAATCAACAAGCAGCGCGAATGTTACACGCCAACTGTGTTTCCCGAATTTCGTGGTAATGTCGCCAACCAAAACTCTTCTGATTCAGGAATCAGAACCACATCTTGTGGTTCTGAACCATTCGATGTGGGAAACAAACCTGAGCCCACCAATCAGCATGATTCCTCATCTCCACGTCAGCTCTGAACCTAGAACCTCTCGAATGTGCTCCCAACCAACCCCTTCTTCTACCTCCTCCTAGCTTTGTGTCTCATTTTCTGCTCTTGTTCTTCTCAAAACTTAACGTTTTTCTCTAGTTACTAGGCGCGCTGCTCTTCTTTGCATCAATCTTTTCTGCCACGATCAGATCCGTCTTCCCTAAGTATTCTCGTTTTCTCCTAAAGTCTTATTGCGTCGTTTTTTTTTTTCTCCTTGTGCCATTGTCCAGGTTGAAGTCCAAATTCAACTGGAGGTCGGGAGCCGTTTTACAACCGTACAACGGGTGTAAATGAGTCACTGAGACGGTCCTTTATCGGTACATCGACACCTTGTTTCTCCTTTTTTTTGTTGTTGCCTAACTCATGACGTACCGTGCTGTGCACGGAATGGAGGGCAACGCTGGGAGTGCGTTCTCTCTTGGTCGAATTATGTCGCTTTGTGTGCAGATGTGTATTTTCTTAACGTCGTGTGGTGCGCTCCTCATTTGCGCGACCTTGTATTAATGTCGATGTATTCCGTAAACATGTTGACTTATCAAACGGCACAAGCATTCGTAGTCCACTGTGGCAAACAGGTAAGTGGCCGCAGGTATGTCTACTACTACATTTGTTCTCGCCTGGCTAACATCAGTTTTTGCAGGTACTACTCCCTGTCTTGGATTGTGTTTCTGATTTTACGTGTGTTTCAGACCTCCAGGCTCAAGTGGTTGAAAGGGCGTAAATGTTTTGATTCTGTTGAAGTACCTGCAGTTAGATTATTTAGTTGTGCCAGATCATGTTGATTATGGTGTTAGGGCGTTTTGTCAGGTCTGTTGTATAAAAATGTACTTATAGTAACAGAAATTTCTATATGTACATGCTGAACTCAATTGTCTCCACAAATTATGTTGCATGCGCCAATATGCATCCCGAAAACTGATTGGTCCACGTGGCATTTGTCCGGCCACTATTCACCTTGACAGCTGGCAGGAAATATCTACATACGTGGCGTTCAGGCGTCCACGTGGCAAAGGGGTGGCAAAAGGGACTTAAAGCCCAAGTTCTTCAGACAAATGTCACTTCAGATGTCACCTTTCAGTTGTGTTGTGTGGTTGCAATATGGCCATTTTTTTGTCGCTTTGTCGTCACTTTTCCGCAACTTCGAAAGTCACCCCGCCACAGAAGCCTTTGACCTAGACTTTTTTCTTGCGAAACCAAAGTTGCGGAAAAGCAACTTTGAAGTTGCTATTCCGCAACTTTTCGGGCCTCACACTTTCGCGATGGCGACGTCAGGATGGCGTTGCAGCCGCCACACCTGGAGCGGTGTGAGCCGCGCCGCGAAGCCGTTGGATGTGTGCTTGTAGCTGTAGATCAGATCCGCGTCGAGTACGCCCGCCTCAGATGCGACCTGCGCCTGCTGCCGCTGGAGCAGCGACGCGAACGCCGCCACCTGCGGCCGGTCCATGCTCAGCCGCATTCGGTGCCGCGCGCGCCCGCCGTTTTAAACGTCACCTGACGCCGCCGTGCCGTCAGTTGCGTTGGGCCCTGAGAAGGCGGAACTCCAGGGATGATCAACGCCGCTATCAGTGCTACGAGACGTTGTGTCATCCAAGTCCACGGCTTCGTGCTTTGCCGCCCTCGAAGACGCTGCAAGATCCATCTCCGGTACAGCTTCTTCGTCATCCTCTTCATTCTCATTGCTGCCGTCATCCCACGTAGCAGTGGCGGGGTAGCCGGCAATTCCTCCGCGGTACTCGACGAGCGGTGGCGCGGAGCTCAGGCGGACGATGTATATGGACCCGCTACCGCCACTGCCGCCGCCACTCGTGGGATCTTCACGAGGCTGGAACCCTCCGCCGTCGCGCCACTCTCTGATCGCACAGGATGGGTGTGCAGCTAGCAACAGCGCGCCAAGTATCATCAGCAACATCGCAACGGTAGGACTGTGCCGGGCCATGTTGATCAGCTATGACAGATTCTATAGTCCACCTATACTCGTCGTCGCGGTCGATTGTAAGCGCATGATTGTTTCGACTACAAACGCGGAGTTGCTTCGAGAGGAACAAACAGGATTCAGATGACCTGAATCGATTGTGCGAGGCTGCGTGTTTTATCTCCCTTCCACCCTCGGGTTCAACATTTCATTTGGGTTGTGTCGCATCGCATCGTGTGCGGCACGGCGTTTGCAGGGATGACGAAGATCCGGTGAAGGTCTGAACCGAAATCTACAGAGGTGGATGGAGCCTGCAACTCGAGCAAGAGTAAGGGCGTGTGTGAATCTAGTTAACCTAAAGTTAAAGTTTTTGACTCGATTGTAGCAAGTGAACACTGCGAACCTGACTCGATTTTGAGTGTTTGCAAAGTTCGAACCGCAAGTGTCAAAAGTTGTAAACTCACAACCACACGCGCAAGTGCGAATCTGCAAGTTCGAGCCTGTAGGGGGGGAACCGTGTCAGAATGTTATCTTATGCTCTAGCCTGTAGTGGGGTGCTCTATAGCGAGTACAACCCTTCTAGGGTTTCCTATTTGTATCCCCATTCTTGCTAGTGCAATCCTCTTCTTCTCTCTTCTTTCTTCTAAACTTTAACATGCTATCAGAGCAGGTCGATCCCCTTGGATCGATCCTGTGGGTGGGCTCACCACCTTGTTGCTTCCGCTGCAACTGCTACTGCTACTCTCTGTGCCGCACGCTTCGTGGCGTGCGGCAGTTTTTCTTCCCGCCGTGCGCCCCGAGGCGCGCGGCGGTTTTCTGCCCGCCGTGCGCCCCGAGGCGCGCGGCGGTTTTCTGCCCGCCGTGCGCCCCGAGGCGCGCGGCGGTTTCCTGCCCGCCGCGCGCCCCGAGGCGCGCGGCGGGTCGCGCGACCCCTACAGCCCCGTCGCGCCGCCCAGGGGAGCCGCGCGCGACCCCTGCAGCCCCGTCGCGCCGCCCAGGGGAGCCGCGCGCGGCCCCTGCAGCCCCGTCGCGCCGCCCAGGGGAGCCGCGCGCGGCCCCTGCAGCCCCGTCGCGCCGCCCAGGGGAGCCGCGCGCGGCCCCTGCTGCCCCGTCGCGCGGCCCTGCTGCCCCGTCGCGCTGCCCAGGGGAGCCGTGCGCGGCCCCTGCTGCCCCGCCCCGTCCCCGACCTGCCCCGGCCCCGACCTGCCCCGGCCCAACTCCCGTCGCCCGTCGCGGCGCCCTGGGGGGGGCCGCAGTCTACCGGGGGCCGCGCGTTGCCCCCCCCCCCCCCCCCCCCCCCCCCCCCCCCCACCTCCCTACCCTGTTTTTTTAGGGTTTGGGGGGTAGTGGTTGGGGGGTGGCGGTTGGGGGGTGGCGGTTGGGGGGTGGCAGGTGTGTGGCGTCGCCTGCTCCTCCTCCTCCTCCGTCTCCCTGTGCTGCAGCTGCCGCTGAGGGGGGGTGGACGTGTTGGAGCCGGTGGAGTGGTACTAAGGGGGGGTGAAGGGGGAGTGGAGCTAGCGGTGTAGCAGCGGGTGTGTGCCAGGGGGGAGTGGGATAGTTTGGGGAAGCTGAATGGAGGTTGCCGTCGTGTCGCCAGCAGCACCTGTATTCCGGGGACTTCGTCCGGTAGCCCAGTCGTAGCCAGCTGTGCCAGCCGCCCGTGGGTCCGTTGCTCGTCTGCCGCTACTTTAGCCGCGGGGCCTGTTACTCCTGTATTCCGGAGACTTCGTCCGGTAGCCGCTGTGCCAGTCTGCCTCCTGTTGCCCGTGTGTCTGCAGCTTCAGCCGTCGCCCCCTATCTCCTCTCCTCTCACTCTCTCTCCTCCTCCTCACTTGCCCGTTGTGACTACCACTAGCTTTGCTCATAATTGTGAACTTAAACTATTGCTTCTTGAACTTGTGCTCAGAATGTGTGGTGACATTGTGATCCACCCTGAGCTTGTACTCCTTTGCTTCCTCTGCTGATTACACCCCACTTTGGCTATGGGGGTGTGTCAGAATGTTATCTTATGCTCTAGCCTGTAGTGGGGTGCTCTATAGCGAGTACAACCCTTCTAGGGTTTCCTATTTGTATCCCCATTCTTGCTAGTGCAATCCTCTTCTTCTCTCTTCTTTCTTCTAAACTTTAACAAACCGAACCGCTTCTAGGGTGCGTAGGTTACCCAGTATCGGAATCTTGAGAGCGCGACACGTCAACGAATCGCAAGAATTTGTTGCGAGTGTCGCACATTCCGCGTACGTGCCTGAAACCACACACGTTCACTACAACGTGCAAAACCACGTTTGCTCCCACACTCGAATCTTGTTCACTTTTCGGGGTTCGAGTTTCGTGCGTGACAAAGTGAACACGGCGTTGGCGAAAGCGTTTGCGAAAATGCTCGAAATTGGTTACCACATTAGGTTCGATCCTATTTTCGAACTGCAATTAGATTCACACACGCCCTAAATGGATGGTGCATCTGGGCTGTGTACGGTACGGGTCAATCAAAGCCTCCGAATCGCACTCGGACCAGAATAGACTAATCGCGCAGCGCTGGTAACCCGAGCGGGTAATCTAGTACAGCTGTTCGCCGAGCCCATATAACTACCCATGTACATGAAGTCCAGTTCTATTATTCTTACACTTGAAGACACATGTTGCAAGGGGGGAAGGACAGGTGGTCGATTGAGACAGTCCTACAAAAAAAAAATACGTACTATGTAAACAGGGGATGTGACCACTAGCCGCCACCACCACCACTATTAGATGTTGGTCGACAACAACGAAACTATCAAACTATGCTTGTAGAAATATATACGGTATGCTGTGGTGAGTTGCATGTTAGGGAATAAGAGGTGAATGTTGAGATAAGAACTTAGGAGATTAGGAGCTTGGAGGGAGAGTAGCATAGTGAGATGGTTATCGAGGGAGTTTAGGTTGGCCAAAAGAGAGCGCTTGAATAATGGAGGGCATACAAAGATATAGGAAAGGAGAAGACAAAGGGTACACCACCAGCAATAGGTTCTAATTAATAACTAATACACTAACGACAAGCTGTAGGCAGTTAGGATATGCAATGTAATTCAACACACCCCCGTAACTGCCAACAGCTATAGTTAGTGGTGTCAGGCACCAGGTCGCCTGGAGAGCGGTTGCTTCCTGGCAGCACCTGTGAACGCCATAACGGAGGAGGGCGCGGAGGGCGCGGAGGAGGGCTGGGATAACCGGAGGGCGTAGGATGCTGGTGATTAACACCAACCGTTGGATAGGAGGAGGAAGCTGGTGGTGCACAGGCGGAGAGCCGAGGAGAAGCGGCTGGAGGAGCAAACAAGCGGAGGAGGAGGCGGCTGGAGGAGAGGAGAGAGGAGAGGAGGGGAATGGAGAGGAGAGGAGGAGAGGAAGTGCAGCGGAAGGAGGAGGAGAAGGGGGAGGCGGCTGCCTGCGCATACCCGCCACCCCCACACCCTCTTCCCCCCCCCCAAAACGCGGCACGAACTGCAGATGCGCGGGCAGCGATGAGGAGGAGGATTAGGGAGGGGCGGGAGGGTTCAAGGGGGCTTAAGCACCCCCGTAGCCGCGGGCGCGAGCCCTGCCACCTCCCCCCCGCAACGTCCACCGTAGAAGAGAGCGGCGGCAGGTGCGGAGGCGGGGAGCGGGGTGGCGATGGCGGGGGCGCTGGCGGCCGCTGCTGGCGCTGGCGCTCGCGACCGGCGCTGGCGCATGCCGCTGGCACTGACGCTGGCGCTGACGCTGGCGCTGGCGCTGGGGACCGGCGCTGGCGCTGGCGCTCGCGACAGTCGCTGGCGCTGGCGCACGTCGCTGGCGCTCGCGCTGGCGTCAGCGACGGTCGGAGGCGCTGGTGCTGGCGTCCGCGACCAGCGGCGGGGCGACGCGACAGCGCGCGGGACGGGGCGACCAGCGCGTGGGGCGGGTAGCACGGGGCGTTCAGCGCGGGGCAGGAAACGGGCGAGCGCCTCGAAGGGCGCTGCAACGGTCGCCATGGCAACGATGGCAGCCATGGCGAATGAAAAATGACAAGGTCCTTAGGAGGACCCAGCTCGTAATACCATGTTGAGATAAGAACTTAGGAGATTAGGAGCTTGGAGGGAGAGTAGCATAGTGAGATGGTTATCGAGGGAGTTTAGGTTGGCCAGAAGAGAGCGCTTGAATAATGGAGGGCATACAAAGATATAGGCAAGGAGAAGACAAAGGGTACACCACCAGCAATAGGTTCTAATTAATAACTAATACACTAACAACAAGCTGTAGGTAGTTAGGATATGCAATGTAATTCAACAGTGAAGCAGGAGTGTTTCCAGTGCCTTGGCGGTCTGTGTTTGTTGATGTGCAGTGCATCGGCTGTTGACACTTGAAAGTTTTAGCTCGTTGTTTTTGGGGCTTGTTCAAGGGTAGCCAGTAGGCTTCACTGACCGACACTCTTGGTTGTCCCCGCCTGTGGGATTCGAACCAGCATTTGGGGGGCTGTCAAGTGAATGACCGACAACACTGGTTGACGACATAGTCTGTTTTGTGCACTGGAAGGTGTGCTGTGCTTTGCCTGCCTGTGTGGACGGGTATTTGTCTGAATGTACGGCTTAAATAATCAGGCCAATGGAGAGAGTAGCAAGTAAGTGTGCAAGCATCCGCTATCCAAAGCCCCACATTCACACTTCACCCCCTTTTATATTCCACCTATCCCCAAAACCCAGCAAATGCCACAAGGAGCAGCAATGACAACCGTCACACCAACACTGAAAATGGTACTCTTGCCTCTTGCAACCGCCAACCAACACCTGTCAGAATGTGTTATTTGTCTAATCTGCAGTGGGATACTCTAGTGAGTACAACCCAACTAGGGTTTGCTATATGAATCCCATTGCTTGCTAGTGAATACCCTCTTCTACTCTTCTCATTCCTGGTTGCTATCTTGACATGCTATCAGAGCGTCTACACTCCTGGCCTGTGGGCCCACCTGCTTTTTCTTCCCGCCACACGCTCGGGGCGCGTGGCGGTTTTCTGCCCGCCGCGCGCTCGGGGCGCGTGGCGGTTTCCTGCCCGCCGCGCGCTTGGGGCGCACGGCGGTTTTCTGCTCGGTGCGTCGGCTCGTGGGTCCCGCGCGCCGCCCCTGTTGGACCCGTGCGACGCCCTGCGGGACCCGCGCGCTGCCCTGCTGGACCCGCGCGACGCCCTGCGGCTTCACCCGTCGCCTCCTATCTCCACTCCTCTCATGGTCCCTCCTCCTCCTCACTTGCCCTCTGTGACTGCCTCTAGTTTTGCTTGTGCTTGTGAACTTTTTATACAAATGCTTGCTGTGCTGATCATACCCCACTTTGCCTATGGGGGTGTGTCAGAATGTGTTATTTGTCTAGTCTGCGGTGGGGTGCTCCATAGTGAGTACATCCCAACTAGGGAATACCCTCTTCTGCTCTTCTCATTCCTGCTTGCCATCTTAACAACACCTTCTCCTTTCTGCAAGCAACAGAGAGAAGGCAAGCAATTCCTCGTCACAAGAGAGACGTCTTGGTCATTTGCAACAGTCACAGCACCACCACCATCAAGCAATCCCCCAACCCCAATACTGTACATACTATTCTGGCACACCCCACCCCACCCCTTAGTGTGAGATCGGCTGCACCACGAGATGAGAGCGTACAGTGTGCCCCTTGTCGTCAATCTACGCCATATACCCGTACTTGAAGTCATTGCTGGGTTTATCCACCATCAGTTTGACCGTGATAGTCGCCTTTTGCCCCGGAGCAAGCGTGACAACAAACAACAGATAACAGACAACTGCACACCTGGAGGCGCCTTCCCAAATACAGTGTATGTGGACACAGAGCTGCCAACGCAGGTGACAGTGCGGGTGACTTGAACAGAGCACTGCAGGCGAGGCACCGTGATGGTGGGCAGGTTGAGATTGTGCACGGCCAAGGGGGAGAGCGACGCCCCTGGGAACTCCTTTTTCGCGCGATTCAGGTCCTACCCGGTGAGAAAATTCTGGTAGTCTTTCTCTCGAACGTCGTATGTGAGACTAGGGTCGAGCATAGCAGACGGGAACACATGCCCTGCGCCCATTTCCCACGGGGTTGCGTCTCCTCCGGCTGAGCCTGCATTCTTGATAGGACTGTTGCTCGTGTCAGTAAACCTCGCCGTCGTCATCATTGCAGACATAACCTGAGCCAGGGTCCAGTTTGGGAACTTCTGGATAATTAACGCCGCTAGCCCTGCTAAATGCGGGGTGGCCATGGAAGTACCCGTGAGGCGGGCGGTTGTACCTGGCTCGCCGATTTTCTTTGAGGGAAAAGCGGCTAGAAGGTCAACGCCAGGCCCGATGAAATTTGGCTTGAGAATGTCGTTAGCTAGCAGGGAGGGGCGGGGTGTGTCAAAGGGCGGTACGACGGGCCCACGAGAAGAATATTTAGCGACCATGGGGGCTGAAGAGGCAGCAGTGAAGGTGATTCCTTCGTCGGCAGTGAGCATGGCGCTGCTGTCACCCATGCTGTTGCTGCTGGCAGTGGCACTAGCGATGGCGTTGAGAGGGTTGAAGGACTGAGTGCTGGTGGCCGAAGAAGCTAAGGACGCCCACCTGGCTATCGTGCTGCGGGAGGAGAGAAGGGTGGACGGCGGGTTGGGGAAGAAATGGCTGGGTGAGTCACACATGCAGCAGCAGTCCAGAGTAACATGCCAACAACAACAACATTGACGCGGCGAATGGGGACAGCCACGCTATGCGTGCCTTAGTAAAACGTTCTGAGCATGACCGATAACCGGACACAGGCAAAGGCAAGGTGCAGCAACTTTGCAAGGCGCAAAGGCAAGGTGCAGCAACTTACGCTGTAGAAACCACGACAGCGGCAGCAACTCACCTGGCACCAACGGAAAGGGTGAAGGGCCCGAAATTGGCCACCATGCGGTAAACACCTCCCTGCGACCGCCCAGGGGCTCCTCCATTGCCTGCAGCCAGGGCCACAAACACCCCCGCAGTAATGGTCCTCAGATATAGCAGGTCGCTGAAATAGTCCTAGCTCGGATCCACGCCTGCTAGAGAGATGGAGATCACATCCACTCCGTCCGCCACGGCTTGATTAATGGCCGCCGCGATGTCAACTCCGTTGCACACACCACCTCCGTTGCTGCGCGACCAGCAGACCTTGTACACTGCCAGACGAGCTGCAGGCGCCATGCCGCTCATCTGCCCGCCACCTTGCATGCTCACGGGGTTCCCCGCCGCGGCGCCCGCGCACCACGTGCCGTGGCCGTTGCCGTCGCGTGGCGACAGCCAGTTGCTTTGCAGCGAGGGAGAGCCGAACGCGGCGTAGATAGCCCGGGCACCAATCACCTTGTTGTTGCACCGGAACGAGCTCGACTGCTCACACTTGCCCTTGCACCCAGACGGGAGTTTCGAGCTCATCCCTTGATTGCTGAACGACGAGTGTTCGGTCCAAATGCCGGTATCAACAATCCCCACCACAGTCCCGTAGCCTGCCTTGCTCTGACCGCCCACTGTCGGCCAGACCTTCCCTGGGAGCCTGAGGAACTTGGGCGAATCGGTGCTTTGGGGGCGGAGCATGCGGCTGGGGGTCACGGACGCGACGTCGGGATGGCGCTGCAGCCGCCACACCTGGCGCGCGGTGAGGCGCGCCGCGAAGCCGTTGGAGGTGTGCTTGTAGCTGTAGATGAGGTCTGCGTCGCGTACGCCCGCATTCGGCGCCTTGTGCGCCCGCCGTTGCCACCGTTTGACGCCGCGGGCGAATACACAGTTGCGTTGGGGCCCGAAAAGGTGGAACTCCAGGCATGATTGGCAATGTCAGCAGCGCTGTGGACAGAGCTAGGAGTCGTAGTAGTGTCGTCCAAGTCCACGGCTTCATGCTTCGCCGCCCTTCGAGTCGAAGACCCTGCATTCGGCCCTGCCGGCTCGGCATCGTTACTAGCGGCGTCTTGAAGATCGATCTCCGGTACAGCGTCATCCCCGTCGTTCTCGCTGCTGCCGTCGTCCCACGTGGCAGTGGCAAGGTAGCCCGTGATTCTGCCGCGGTATTCAACCAAGGGTGGTGCGGAACTCAGGTGCACGATGTAGACGGACCCGCTGTCGCCATTGCCGCCACTGCCGCCACTAGCGGGCGCTTCAAGGGGCTGGAACCCTTCGTCGTCGCGCCACGCTCGGATCGCACCGGACGGTTGTGCTGCTAGCAACATCGCACCAAGTGTCATCAGCAGCATCGCAACGGCAGGGCGGTTACGGGCCATGTTAACCACCGCGATGAGAGATTCTAGCGTCGAGGTAGAACTCGTTGCTCCGAGACGAATAAACGAAATTCAGATGGGATGAATCGACTACGAGGCTGCCCTGTTGTATCCTTCCTCCGACCGTCCTCTTCTTGAGTTCCACTCCACACTTGGTTGAAGCCGTGTCGCATCATGCGCGGCGCGACATTAGCAGGATGACGAGATGAGCATCTGGTGGGTGTCCGATCCGAACCGAAAATAATGGACGGGGCTGGATCGCCGGGAACTTAAAGGCCACAGCCCGAATTACACAACGAAGTCAACGAAAAAATTGTAGGTTCGGAAAACCCCAGAAGGAGGTTTGGTGGGAAAATCGAGAACCAATCACGTCAAAAAACCACTCAAACTTTCGACCAATCACATCGAAGTGGTGACAGTTTTGGGGCCGACACGGTAATTCTGGATGTGTCCTTTAAAGCAGTGGTATACATACTTCGCGGTATTTTTTTAGGTTATTTAGGATGCACACCCAACGACGCACACTGATTTGCTTACGAAAAAACCCTCTTCCAGAATCAGTAGGTGCGAGCTGGTCAAACGGATTTGGCGAAATCCGCAATTTTCGTGAAGATTTTTTGTTGAGAAACAACCCTCGGCGACTCCGCGATAATTTCGTGAGGTTGGGTTGGGGAGGGGATTGGGGAATTTGTATAGCCAATCAAGAGCAGGGAAATTTCAGGCGGGGGTTGTGTTGTGAAACACACCTCGCCATCAAAGCGGAGGGCTACCTGGTTTTCAAGTGATAAACCAGAGGCCCTCCCGCCAGATATGTAGACGACAGCTTTAAGGGAGAGAACATTGATGGTGAATCCCGGCCGTGCACGACACGGGTCCGACAGCACCTAGAATCGCACACGGACAAGGAAACTTGTGACTGGTGTTGAATTAGGTTCTTAACTCAAGCCTTAGTTGCCTAGGGTTGAGGTAGGAAGGTTGAGTGTCGAGGGAAAAGGGTTGGCCAAAGAGGGTGATTCAATGTTGAGCAAGGGTACAAATAGGAAAGAACATGCAAGGAAAGAAGGTGCACCACCTACAAAACATAATAACTACACTACAACTACAAGCAGCTATTAAAGATATAAAACTTATTTCGACACGCCCCCATAATTGCTTGTAGGAAGAAGTGTAGTTACGCCCCCTGAAGGGGTACACCATGCAGAGTGCGCAGCGGAAGGAGAGAAGTACCAAGGAGGAGGTGAATGAGGGATGAGGAGAGGAGGTGGGGGGGAGCCACGCGGCGAACCCCTCTTACGAACCCCCGTTTTACTAAGGGGGGGGGGGGGGGGGGGGGGTGAGAGGGGGATGAGGAGAGGAGGTGGGGGAGCCACGCGGCGAACCCCTCTTACGGACCCCCATTTTACAAAGGGGGCGGTGAGAGGGGGATGAGGAGAGGAGGTGGGGGGAGCCACGCGGCGAACCCCTCTTACGAACCCCCAAGTCCATACCCCCTTTCAGCCACCCCCCTAAACCACACCCCCTTTCAGCCACCCTCTTAAACCTCGCCGCCGTTGTTCAACCGCCACCCGGAACCGCACCCTTCCGCCACCCCCTCACCCTCCCCCCACAGCGGCACGTGCGGTAGTGAGAAAGAGAGGAGGAGGGGCGGCAGCAGGTTGCTCACACCCGCCACCCCCAAACCCCCACCCCCCCCCACTGCTGAACGCGCAACAGGGAGAGAGAGGGGAAGGCGAGCAGCGGAATTGCGGTGTGGCGCAGCAGCGCACTGTCAGAGGTCCACTGGTGATCCCCGATTGATCCTAGAGAAGGGTTACAGGCACTTTGGCCTGGGGGGTTATGGGCGCACTGACCCGCTACTTAACAAGCCCTTTTATCCCAATGGTCTAGTGGTTGGGATTTTGACATGGTATCAGAGCGAAGGTCTCGTATTCGAATCCCAGTGCATGCACTTCGGGCATCCCAGTGCGGGGGGGTGTCAGAGGTCCACTGGTGATCCCCGATTGATCATAGGGAAGGGTTACAGACACTTTGGCCTGGGGGGTTATGGGCGCACTGACCCGTTATTTAACAAGCCCTTTTATCCCAATGGTCTAGTGGTTGGGATTCTGACACGCACGGACCTACGTCAACCATCCACGCCCCCCCCTTCCCCCCGCCACCTCCTCCTACAGTGGAAGGCGCGGCGACGGGAAGCAGGGCGCTCGCGGCGATGCAGGTCGCCCACGGGCGATGGAAAGGAGGACGCCTGCGGCGACGAGAAGCAAGTCGCCCGCGGCGACGGGAAGCAGGTCGCCCGCGGCGACGGGAAGCAGGTCGCCCGCGGCGACGGGAAGCAGGTCGCCCGCGGCGACGGGAAGCAAGTCGCCCGCGGCGACGGGAAGCGGGGCAGCACGGCGTCCGAGGTGACGGGATGCGGGGCGCCGTATGGGGCTCGACATCGCATCCGTCGCGGCCGGCACCCTGAGCGCCGTGACGAGCGCCACAACGGGCGCGACGGGTGCTGCGACAAGAAACGCGACGGGGAGCGCCATGGCTAGCGGTGGGCCAAGGAATGTGATAGCTCTGATACCATGTTGAATTAGGTTCTTAACTCAAGCCTTAGTTGCCTGGGGTTGAGGTAGGAAGGTTGAGTGTCGAGGGAAAAGGGTTGGCTAAAGAGGGTGATTCAATATTGAGGGTTTTAGGGTGCAAATAGGAAAGAACATGCAAGGAAAGAAGGTGCACCACCTACAAAACATAATAACTACACTACAACTACAAACGGTTATTAAAGATATAAAACATACTTCGACAACTGGCCGCGGAGATTTGGTTAAAGTTATATTTTGGTTGTAACCAATTGTTATATCCATTTCCTAGATGAGCACGTGCAAACCCCCTCTTGAGGGCTGGCGGAACACGCCTGCACGGGGGTGGGTTCGAACCCAGGACCTCATCCTTCGAAAGTGCCTCTTTCTACCAACTAGGCCACTTCTGGATGGTCGCAAAGATTTGGTATTTCCCGGCCGGTTTATGCGTTTGCTGGGTTCGTGGGGTCGGACCTACACTACAATAGCCCAAATTAGCGGCACCCATGTACAATACATGGAGTTATATGCTATTATGCTTACATGCAGCATAAAACTCTTTTGTGAAGTAGCAGCTAAATGGACATATGGATTAAGACCCTAATCCTATAGCCTACTAACTGTACTAGCTACGGTAGATAGGGAATGTGAGGACTACATGCAAATTTGGGTTGGTCCACCGTACTAGTGCCTACCAGTAATACACATTTCCTCCACATCACGGCAGCTCCATCCATCACTCTGCAACCAGCTACGGTACGTCTCGACAATCACACTTTCGCCATCCGGTCTGGCACACAGCAGCAGCAGGGCCTATGACCCTCAACTCTCTGCGCCTCAAGCTACAAGCGCAGCGCTTCCCATCGGGTTTGGGGCAGTGGTGGAAGCAGAAGAGGCAGAGAGCAAGTGAGAAAGCAGGCTGTGTGTGTTCGTGTGCATGGGCTGTTGACATGTGCAAGTAAATTAGAGCAGCAGGTATAATTTAGATTAGACAATGGAGAGAACAGCAATGCAAGCATCCTGCATCCCTAGGCATGCAACCTGCAGTCTATCCCAGCGATACTATCCCAAGAAACCACACAGATTCCTAAGGAGCAGCATAGCATTAATGAATCACATGACATGTCCCTACCAAGAGCCAGTTCACGGTTTGTGCCAAGCCCAACACCACTCCATGCCATGGGACACCCACACTCCTGACAAACACACCAACAGCAACGCCTGGCAAACACAGTCTTCTCCAGCAGCACTCAGCAGCATCGGCCCCATCTTATCCCATCCCACCCCACCCCACCCAGCCCCACCCACCCCTTAGCGGGAAATCGGCTGAACCACGAGAGGAGAGCGCACGCTGTGCCCCTTGTCGTCCTTCCACACAATAAACCCGTACTTGAAGTCATTGCTGGGTGTTACCACCGTGGCAATAAGCGTGTAATTCGCCTTCTGCCCCGGAGCAAGCGTGAATCTCCCAGGCCCTACAAACACCCTGACGCCCTGGGGCGGACTCCCAGATACAGTGTATGTGGACACAGAGCTTCCAACGCAGGTGACTGTGCGGGTGACTTGAACAGAGCCCTGCAGGCGAGCTAGCGTGATGGTGGGCAGGTTGAGATTACGCACGGCCAAGGGGGAGAGAGACGCCCCTGGGAACTCCTTTTTCGCGCGGTTCAGGTCCTGGCCGGCGAGAAAATTCTGGTAGTCTTTCTCTCGAACGTCGTATGTTAGACCAGGGTCGAGCATTGCAGGCGGGAACACATGCCCTGCGCCCATGTCCCACGGGGTTGCCTCCACACCCGAGAATTCAGTCTTAATAGGGCTGTTGCTCATGTCAGTCACCCGTGCGGTCGTCATCAGTGCTGACATGACCTGAGCCGGGCTCCAGTCAGGGTATTTCTGGATGATTATCGCGGCTAGCCCCGCCAAATGCGGGGTGGACATGGAAGTACCCGTGCGGCGAGCGGTCGTGCCCGGCTCACCGATTTTCTTCGAGGGAGCAGCGGCTACAAGGTCAACGCCAGGCCCGATGATATCAGGCTTGAGAATGTCGTTAGCTGGCAGCGGAGGGCGGGCTGTGGCATTGGGCGGTAAGAGCGGCCCACGGGAGGAAATGTCAGCGACCCTGGGGTCGGAGGAGGCGGCGGTGAAAGTAATTCCCCCATCGGCAGTGAGCGTGGCGCTGCTGTCGCCCATGCTGTTGCTGCTGTTGGTGCTGCCAGTGGCGCTGGCGATGTTGGTGGTGCGGGCTGCAGCTAAGGACGCTCCTTTAGCGATGGTGCTGCAGGAGAAGGAGAAGCATGGAGGGCGGATTGGGAAAGAAGCATGGAGGGCGGATTGGGAAAGAAGCATGGAGGGCGGATTGGGAAAGAAGCATGGAGGGCGGATTGGGAAAGAAGCATGGAGGGCGGATTGGGAAAAAAGCATGGAGGGCGGATTGGGAAAGAAGCATGGAGGGCGGATTGGGAAAGAAGCATGGAGGGCGGATTGGGAAAGAAGCATGGAGGGCGGATTGGGAAAAAAGCATGGAGGGCGGATTGGAAAAGAAAGAGGCAGGTTGAGTCATGCACATCATGCAGCAGCAGCAGTGGTGCATGGTGCCATGGCTGGCAACAGCAACGCGGCTGAAGGGGGACGGCCACGATGCATCCGTGCCGTGTGATGATGATCTCACAGTCAAAGTTACGAGCATGTCTGGAGATCATAATTACGTTTCTAGCCAACATATGTAGGCAGGAACCGCTAGAACGCTGCGCTACACGAGTCAGAGTGGGTCAGTGGAAACTACGACAGCAGCGGCAGCGGCTCACCTGGCGCCAACGCTGAGGATGAAGGGAGAGAAATTGCCCACCGTGCGGTAAATCCCTCCCTGCGACCGCCCGGGGGCTCCACTGTTGCCCGCGGACATGGCCACAAACACCCCCGCAGCGTTGGCCCTCAAGTACACGAGGTCGCCGAAATAGTCTTGGTTGGCACCCAAGCCTGATATAGAGAGGGAAAGAATATCCACGCCGTCCGCCACCGCCTGATTGATGGCCGCCGTGATGTCTGCTCCGTTGCTGAGACCTCCGCGTCCGTTCCTGTCAGTCCATGAGACCTTGTACACCGCGAGGCGAGCTGCAGGCGCCATGCCGCTCATCTGCCCGCCGCCCTGCATGCTCACGGGGTTGCCCGCCGCCGCGCCCGCACACCACGTGCCATGGCCGCTGCCGTCGCGCGGCGACAGCCAGTCGTTTTGCAGCGAGGGCGAGCCGAACGCGGCATAGAAAGCCCGGGCGCCGATCACCTTGTTGTTGCACCGGAACGAGCTGGACTGCTCGCATTTGCCCTTCCACCCGGCGGGCAGCTTCGAGCTCATCCCTGCATCGCTAAACGACGGGTGTTCTGGCCAAATGCCGGAATCGATAATCCCCACCACTGTCCCTTCGCCCGCCTTGCTCTGGCCGCCCACTGCCGGCCACACCTTACCCGGGAGCCCGAGGAACTTGGGTGAGTCGGTGGTCTGGACGCTGAACATGCGGCTGGGGGTCACGGACGCGACGTCGGGATGGCGCTGCAGCCGCCACACCTGGCGCGCGGTGAGGCGCGCCGCGAAGCCGTTGGAGGTGTGCTTGTAGCTGTAGATGAGGTCTGAGTCGAGTACGCCCGCCTCAGATGCCACCTGCGCCTGCTGCCGCTGCAGCAGCGTCGCGAACGCCGCCACCTGCGGCCGGTCCATGCTCAGCCGCATTCGGCGCCGCGCGGCGCGCCCGCCGTTGCCGTTGCCGCCGCCGCTGCCTGTGGCTCCTGCGGGCGCAGGCGCAGTTGCATTGGGCTCTGAGTAGAAAAAACTCCAGTCGCCGTCCCAGTAAGGCAGCGGCACGGTCTGCTTCACCGCCCGCGACGGCGCTGCATCATCATCAGCCGCAGCAGCGCTGCGAGGTGGAGCCGGAGTCGTTGCGTCCTCGGCTTCATGCTTCGCCGCCCGCAAAGACGCTGCGTCTGCTCCTGCGGCGACGTCGGTGGCTGCAAGGTCCATCTCCGGTACGGATTCGTCGTCGTCGGCCCCGTCATTCGCGTCGCGGCCGTCGTCCCACGTGGCAGTGGCGGGGTAGCCGGCGATTCCGCCGCGGTATTCGACGAGCGGTGGCGCGGAGCTCAGGCGCACGATGTAGACGGACCCGCTTCCGCCATTGCCGCCATTGCCGCCGCTCGCTGGCGCTTCAAGGGGCTGGAACCTTCCACCGTTGCGCCAGGCTCGCCGGTTCGCGCTGGACGGCTGTGCTGCTAGCAGCAGCGTGGCGAGTATCATCAGCAACATCGCAACGGCAGGACGGTACCGAGCCATGTTGATCACGAGAACAGATTCTAGTAGCGTCTAGATAGTAGAACTCGTCCGACGAGTCGTTGCTTCGAGAGGAACAAACGGATTTCAGATGAGATGATGAATTGATCGCGGGGCTGCCCAGTTTTATCCGCCCCTCCGTCCACCCTCGGGTTCCACATTTGGTTGGGGGGCTGAATCGCATCGCGTCGCGCGCGGCGCGGTGTTTCCTGGGAGATGACGAAGATCTGGTGGGGTCTGAAACCCGAAATATCGGACGGCGTTGACCGCTGGATGTAGCCGGGAGGATGTAGCCGGGAACTCAGGGGAGAGAGAATGGATGGTGGATCCGGGCCGTGCTCGGCACGGGTTAAGCAGCACCTTGAAAAATAGTGACTGGTCGCGAAGAACTCGAGTTGTTTTGGCTGTAGCGCCGTGTTTACTTGCTGAGAGCCACTGTTCGTGGTTTCGGACCTTCACTACAACAGCCTATTACAATACATGGAGTCCGAACCTAACACTCTATCCCTCCACGCATTAGAGAAGTAGTGACGGGTCGTTCATAAGGAACTTGAGCAGGGCTGACGAACCCGACCCGAGCCACTGTTGATGAGAGCCGAGACTGCGGAACCCATATGAAGCCCGAATTTATTATGACAGTACACGCGCAGTTAAATACACGACCACAAAGAGAAATCCTTACATGCAGCATAACTCTTTTATGCAGTAACAGCTAAATGGACAGAGACACTAATCCCACTAGCTCACTCCACTATCTACATCGGAAATGTGACGACTACTTGCAAATGAAGGTTCGTCAACAGAAATACTACTACCTAGTACTACACATTACTTCACTACTGCACTTGTACCTCCTTCAACAGCACAACAAAATAATCTATACACTGCCAGATGTTGGAAATCCGAATACAGTATAACGAATACTGTATACCAGTGTGCTGTTTGGTTTTAGTGTAGTCCTCTTTATAAGCTTCCAGGTCCTACAATAATTGTGTGACAATTATTGTAGGGGCCACAATTATTGGAGCCTAGTGTATGGAAAATCTCTTTTTCCTTACTTCGTGTCCCTGCTCAACGCGTACATCACTGTAGCACCACAGTCAGCACCGTTACCACTCGCAATCCTCGCATCGACAATCCGCCCGCCACCTTCGCACGTCGCACCCCGACCTCACGGCTCGGCGGGTAACCCGCGCTCCGGGCCTCCGCAGTGAAGATTTTTATTGACGGAGGAGCAAGCCACAGTTTAGTTAATACCGCAACTGCGCGAAAATTATAACTGACACTTAGTCGCTGCTTACCTGAGATCGACGCACGCTTAGTTGACGGCACGCCGCTGGCCATACGGGAGAAGGTGGAGAGAGTAAAAGTTCGCTGCAGGGGAAACTTCGGGTTTACACAGGAAATGCTCGCGACGACATTGGATGGACATGATGTTTTACTGGGACGTGATTGGCTACGACGGTACAACCCACGAATCGACTGGACGACGGGTAGCTGCACTGTGCGAAGTAGCGGTAACTGGGTCATGCTACCTCGCTGGCAGTCGCCCGAGTCTTCAACGGTCCACGTCAACGCCATCACGATGAAACGGGTTGTCGCCGCTGGAGCTGACGTGTACGCAGTAGATATAGCGTTAGTAGGAGAAGCGGAGCAGCCGAGCGATTTTCAGAAACTGTTGGCAGCAGTACCGCCCGAACTACAGGAACTGTTGAAACGGTACCCGAAGATTTTTCCAGACGACTTACCGGAAGGGCTGCCACCTCAGCGGGCGCATGATCATAGGATCGAGTTAGAACCGGGGGCACAGCCAACTGTACAGCGCCATTTCAGACTGACACAGCCCGAGCTCGACGAACTGAGGAAGCAGTTAGATTATTTGTTAGAGAAGCAGTTTATTCGACCAAGTTCGTCACCGTTCGCCGCACCGATACTGTTCACACCGAAAAAAGACGGAGGGTTTCGCATGTGCATCGATTACCGAGCGCTCAACAGGGTAACAGTCAAGTCGCGGTACCCCATTCCCCGCGCCGACGAACTGATCGACCAACTGCGAACAGCACGGGTGTTTTCGAAAATAGACTTACGAGGGGGTTACCATCAGATTCGGGTCGAACCATCGGACTGCGCCAAGACAGCATTTAGGACTAGATGCGGGTCGTTTGAGTACACGGTGATGCCTTTCGGGCTGACCAACGCGCCCGCAACATTTCAGATGACCATGAACGAGGCGTTTAGGCCACTCTTAGATAAATGCGTGATAGTTTACCTCGACGACATCCTCGTCTATAGTCGCGACAAGCGGCAGCATTTAGCGGATCTCGAAGCAGTATTTAAAGTTTTAGAGGAACATCGATTACTAACCAAGGGCTCTAAGTGCGAGTTTTTTCGGGACAAACTAGAATTTTTGGGGCACGTTATTTCGGAGGCTGGGGTTGAAATCGACCCAAAGAAGCTGGATACAGTAAAAGCGTGGCGTCCCCCGACGAACATCACGGAACTGCAGAGTTTTTTAGGGTTCGTTAATTATGTTCGTCGGTTCGTCCCCGACATGGCACAGTTGATTGCCCCGCTGACGGATTTACTGCGAAAGGGGGTCGTTTTTACGTGGGGGGAGAAAGAGCATGCTGCCTTCTCTGCCCTGAAAAATGTTCTCTGTTCACCGCCCGTCCTGCGCATCGCCGACCCACACCGCCCCTTCGAGGTTGTTACAGACGCAAGCGACATCGCCATTGGAGCCGTACTGCTACAGGACTTCGGCAACGGCCTACAGCCCATCGCATACGAGTCACGAAAACTGCATCCGCCCGAGCGAAATTACCCGATACACGACCGCGAAATGCTCGCGATCGTGCATGCGTTCAAAGTGTGGCGCTGCTACTTGACCGGCGCAGACGTGACAGTACGGACAGACCACCGATCACTACAGTACCTCCGCGCACAGCCCCACCTCAACCCACGACAGATTCGGTGGCTCGATTTCCTCGAGTCAAACTTCCACTACACAGTCACCTATAAAAAAGGAGCCTAGAACATCGCCGACGCACTGACCCGCCCCACTGCCCAGATCCACGCGATACTACTCGCCCAGACCAGCCCGCTACTGACAGGACTATTTACCCACGGATATCAAACGGACCCATTCTTCACAGGAGGAAGTTCGCAGCAGTTCGCAGCAGCCAAGGGAGTCTATTACGTAAAAGCCGGGACCGACCGCATCTGGGTACCAGGGTACACACTGCTACGGGAATTACTATTACAGGAGGCACACGACGGGGTTACCTCGGGACATTTTGTCAGAATCCCAACCACTAGACCATTGGGATAAAAGGGCTTGTTTCAGTAGCGGGTCAGTGCGCCCATAACCCCCCAGGCGAACGCGCCTGTAACCCTCTCCAGGATCAATCGGGCATCCACAGTGCAGATCTACTGACACCCCCCCACACTGGGAGGCCCAGGACTAAGCACAGCGGCAACGGCCTACATGTGCATACACCGGGAATCGAACCCGAGACCGCTCTGATACCATGTCAGAGTCCCAACCACTAGACCATTGGGATAAAAGGGCTTGTTTCAGTAGCGGGTCAGTGCGCCCATAACCCCCCAGGCGAACGCGCCTGTAACCCTCTCCAGGATCAATCGGGCATCCACAGTGCAGATCTACTGACACATTTCGGGGTAGAGAAAACACGGCAGCAGCTGCAGCGGTATTATTACTGGCCCGAAATGTTGACCGACGTGCAGCGACACGTGGCATCGTGTCCCACTTGCCAGATCATGAAGTCAACACGGAAGCGGCCGGCGGGACAGTTGTAGCCAATCCCACCTCCAGAGCGTGCTTGGCAGCAGGTGACGATGGACTTCGTCACGGGGTTACCGGCCGGGGCGAGTGGGAATGACGCGATCCTGGTCGTCGTCGATCGACTGACGAAAATGGCACACTTCGCAGCCTGCAAAAAATCAATCACAGCCGAAGAAACAGCCCGCCTCTTCATCTCTACCGTCGTTCGACTGCACGGGATACCAGCATCAATCATCAGCGACAGAGACACGAAATTCACCAGCAACTTCTGGCGGAACCTGTGGCAGCAGTTCGGCACGCGACTACAGTTTAGTTCATCGTACCACCCCGAAACAGACGGACAGACAGAACGGACAAATCAGACCATGGACAGCTCATCCGGGCCACGTGCGACGACCCAAACACGTGGGAACAGCAACTGCCACTCATCGAATTCGCATACAACAACGCCCCATCCGCCACGACCCAACAGTCACCGTTTTACCTGAATTACTGACAAGACCCAACAGTACCCATGACCCCGAATCCCGACAACCCGGTTCCACGCGCGCAACAGTTCGCCGAAATTTTGCAAGGAGCACGAACCAGGGCAGCAGACGCAATTAAAAAAGCTAACATCATCGCTAAACGCAACGCGGACCGCCACCGCAGACCTGTCACTTACCAGCCCGACGACTTAGTTTTGCTCGACACCCAAAATCTCCGACTGCCCATCACCCCGAAACTCCGCCCCCGATACTGCGGGCCATTTTGCATAAGCCACATGCTTACACCTGTCACCGCCCACCTCCTCCTCCCTGCTGACTGGTACGTCAGCCCCTCGTTCCACGTCAGCCTGCTTCGCCCTTACGTCCCGTCCACGAGCCAATTGCCACGCAATCGCCCAGCCAGCATGACAAGACCACCGACTGAACCAATCATCACCCTCGAGAAAATCTTGAGTCACAGAGTTCGCGACCCTCGAGGAGCCCGAAGGATCGAGTTCTTACTCCGCTGGAAGGACCGTACACCCACCGAAGACAATTGGGTTCCCCTGGACAGAATCGAAAACCACCCCGTCCTCACCGAGTATCTGCGCAGCCGGAATTTCAGGGATGTACACGCACTTTCGTAAGGAGGACCTCCTTAAGGGGGGGGGTAGTGTAAGGAAAATCTCTTTTTCCTTACTTCGCGTCCCTGCTCAACGCGTACATCACTGTAGCACCATAGTCAGCACCGTTACCACTCGCAATCCTCGCATCGACAATCCGCCCGCCACCTTCGCACGTCGCACCCCGACCTCACGGCTCGGCGGGTAACCCGCGCTCCGGGCCTCCGCTTCGACACTTTCCCAACCTCAGTCCCAGGCCCGTCGCGCGACAACCACAGTCCATTACCGTTACCACTGTAGTTTCGCTATATATTCTTCGCTCATGCCTTCGCTCATTGTACTCTTGCTTCGATAGTGCAATTCTCGTTCGTAACACCTAGCATTATTGGAGGGTAGAGGGTACAATTATTGGAGCCTAGCATTATTGTCTGGAGGGGTAACTGGATGCATATATACCCTGCTCTATCACTTCTTCAACATCATTGAGTAATCATTGAGTTATCATTGTGTCATCCTTCTACTTTTCAATGATCAATGCAAGATTTCTATCTTGTTCTTTTCTACAAACACGTTTCCGCTACGCTGGCACTATGCCTTTCTAGCACCAGACACCCCTCTACAATCATTGCACTCAGCAACAACAACAGCACCACGCCATCCATCACTCAACCAGCTGTTTCTCAACAATCGCACCGTCGCCATCTGGTCTGGCACACTGCAGCAGCAGGGCCTGGCCCTCAACCCTCTGCGCCTCCAGCTGCAAGCGCAGCGCTTCCCACCGTGTGCGCTTCACAGTCTGTGCATTCGCTCGCACCTGCGCTTGCAGCTCTGCAAGCCGCTCCTCCTCCTGAGACAGCGAGGCCAAGGCCGCCAGATTGGCCAGGCGTTTCTCCTTGTGCTTGGCTCGCTGCTCTTTGATGGCGAACTGGAGAACGCCTTTGTGACTTCTGATTATCCCCTGCCAATGGTGATTTTTAGAGAGCGCGTTGCAGGGAGTCCGGTCGATACGGTAAAGGAAGTACATACAGACAAGTATTACGGTGCGACAGTGTGCATCAGCATTCATGCGCACTGAGAGTACAGTTACAGCAGCAAAAACCATTTTGTTGATAAAAAAGGGCTTAACCTAAGATAGAACACGTGGAGATAAACATATTACGAGTGGAAAACACACACCTGGTCCACTTGCAGATATCGATCAAATGTCCTCTGGATAACACGTGCCTGCCAGTAACAAAGGAAACACAAATGAAGTGATGGCTATGCTGACACGCACACAAGGTGTGAAAAAACGCTCATCACTCTATGCCCACCACCGCCATAAACTATCCTCTCCACTAGCTGGTACAGAAGTGATTCACAGGTTCACCCATGCATCCCCCATTTGAGAGACTAGGCTGCATGTACCTGTGCCTGCTGCCAATCTGCGGATGCATTGCCTCCCCCTCCTGACCTACTGCGCTCCTCGTAAATCTCCGTTGCCAGTGCCATCTGCTCCTCCTCCCGCCCCGCTGCTCCCATGCAGTCACAGAGCACAGGACAAACCCATGCATAACCAAAAAGAACCGCACACAGCAGCACGGACAGAGAGGAACAGCAGGCGCCGGTGAGTATGTGACAGCTAGGCAGATGCATCCGAGGAGAGCAGGGTCAAGCCACACTACTAGAACGAAGACGCGGATGGGGGACCAGGGGAGGAGGACACACGTTTACCCGGAAAAGCATCGGCAACGGTTGCAGGGCAAAAACACGGAAGGGCGAACCCGACGCGAGAAGAATGCACTACAACATTGAAGAGAGGTATTGGAGTGTTGGAGTGGGCGCACATTCATATTGGAGTGTCTCACTCACCTAAGAGCCGGCCCTTTACAGAGTGCCAGCAATCGAGGTAGGGGTGTGCGATTGGCCGCGCGTTGCGGATTTGTGAGAGAGCCGAGTCCAGATCCATTCCCTGTGGGGTGGAGGCACAGGAGAATAAGGCGGACACGTGAGGAGCAGCAGGCGGAATGGAAATTTGATGACCTAAGGGGTAAACGGGACGGGAAGAACGTTGACAAGAGCTGGTGAGTGGGTGAAAGTGGGTATCTGAATATGATCGCTGGTGCGTGCACGCACTAGACTAGCATTGATACACACACATGCACATGGGAGCGCACACACGGATGCACACACGCAGATGCACACATGTGCATGTATGTATAATGTACCTTGACAAAGGTGAGGTAGCCTAGCGCTGTGAGCGTGGCGCGGTTAATGCCAGCGGTGCAGTGAATGTAGACGTCACATCCCTCGGCGATGAGGAGGTTGACCATGCGCACGGCCACGGGCAGCATGAACGCCTGGTCGCCATGGTCAAAGTCCCGGATCGGTACTCTCTCCAGCCGCAGACCCCTCTGCACTGCCTGCTCTCGGATGGCAGCAATGGGGATCTGGAAGGGTAGGGAGTGGAGGAGGGGCAGTGGGAGTGGGAGTGGGAGTGGGAGGAAGGGAGAGGGGAGGGTTTAGGAGTGCCAAGAGAGGAGAAGGGGCAGATCGTATGGAAGCATACAGGAAGTGAAGTGCAGGTGCGGGTCAGGGAGGGGTTAGTGGGTGGGTCAATAGAGGTTAGCAAATTAGCGCAGTGTTGAATTGAATGGTTTGCATGAGCTGGATGCTTTCGGTTCAAGTGCTTTGGTACTGGAGGAGAAGGTGCAAGGGTCCAGAGGCAGGACGCAGGGGTGCAAGGGAGCAATGGGGCAAGGAAGCAAGGGAGCAAAAGCGCAAAGGAGGAGGGGAGCAAGGGTGGGTGGGAGGGTGCGAGCAATACCTGCAGGGCGTCGAAGCAGAGGTCGGACTGCAGGTTGACCACGGCCGTTGCCCCACTCTCATCCACTATGCGATCCTGACGCACACACGCATGGGTGGAGAGGCAGGCAGCACGTGCAGGAGAGAAAGGGAGGGAGAGGGAGAGGGAGAGTGAAGCAAGGACTTAGCCTCTTCCTTCCTAGCCTCTTCCCCTCTCTTCCCCAGCTATATAATGGCCTCCTGGCCTCTGGTTTAGCTCATTCTTCATTCGGTGTTCCAAATTTTCCGGCGCTCGTTCGAGAGAGCGAGAGAGAGAGGGAATCTACCTAAAAGGGCGACATGCAATACTACACGCGGCGGAAGCCTACATCGTGTACGGCTCTGCCCCCTCCACCTCAAGCATCGAACGCATGCACGTCGACACCGTCAGAAGGAGCTGCGCCGACGACTGAAGCGTGCGCACCGGGGTCCCCTCCTGGGCGGCCACAAGAAGATCCTCCACGTGGCGGGGGAAGGTACGCGCTAAGGGCGCTACCCCGACGGGCGCTTCCGACACGGGCGCCAATATCGGGGCGAGGGCTTCTGCCCAGGTCGCGCACGATCCTCGGGGACCTGGAGCGAAACTGCCCGGAGAGTTTCGCATGGCCCCACACACCGCCATCTGCAGGTTCGCCACCACCTCGCACGCCTCCGCAAGATTCAGCGTCCGGCACATGGTCAGCATGGGGTCTCTCCCCGCGCGAGTGGGGGGAGGTGCAATCGGAGCCTCACGCTGATACGCTGTCTCCCGGCCCGGAAGTCGGCCTCCCGAGAAGGGCTGCGCGGAGAAGCCAGGGACCTGCCGAGGGGTGCGGAACAGCGCCCTCCCCCCCCGCGCGGGCAGATACTCGCTCAATACCGGCGCGCGCAGAGGGGCCGCGACGTCAGGGGCTAGGGCGTGAGAATGACCGCTGGTCACCTCGATGTGGACGTGAGTTGGCTCACCAGTCGCCCGCGCCTGGCGCATCGCCGCTGCAAACACATTCACGGCTTCACCAACCGCAGGATCCTGCCCGCGACCAGCTCCGCCGCGACCCGCTCCATTCCGCCGACCCCGACGGCCACCAGAGCCTGCCGAGTGCGGACGCGGGGGGGATTGCTCGCGGCGTTCAGAATCCCATCGTTGCCCAGGAGAACCCCTCCCCCGCCTCGCCGGAGATCGACGCGGAGAGCGCTGCGCGGGGGATCGCGCTCGCGGTGAGCGCTGGGCTGCCCGATCTTGGGGAGATCGGTGACGGGGAGAGCGGGGGCTCGCAGGCGACAGCTGATCGCCAGCTCCGTGGCGGCGAAGCTCGCGTTGACCAGGAGAGCGACGCCGAGGGTAACGTTGCTGCTGGGGCTGGCGCTGCGGCGATCGCCCACGCTCATGAGGCGGCTGTCCAACCGGACGATTCGACCCAACACGGGCCGGCGCCCACGAATACTCAGGAGAGTTTGGGCGCGCGCTCGCCTGATGAGGTAGAGACAGCGCGCGCTCCAGACGCCGCACGGGCTCAGACGCGGATGGATGCGCAGGAGCGCGGAGACGGGGTGCAGCGGGCACCTGAGGACGAGGGCCCGCGCTGTCCGCCGTACTCTCTTGCGCGCGGTCGCGACCCGCGGAGGGGTCCATCACGCCCGAACGAACCGCCGCGGACGCCAGCGGGCCGTCAAAGGAGTGGCCTTGGTACCGCCTCGGCGCCACAACCGACACGCAATATTGCAGTGGCGGCCTCCGCGCAGCACGGAATCCGCGTAGGAAGAGGAGGGAGACGGGGTGGTCGTAGAGGAGGCGCTGCGGTTCAACGACTGGGCGCTAGTAGCTTCGCGAGGGCTGCTCACAGGATCCTGAGGGGAAGGGCTAGAGATGGGGAAGAATCGAGTGATGAGAACTCTGTGGGTGACCCTCTATTTAACCCTGAAAGAGAGGGTAGCCCCAGTCCCTCCCCCGAGTTAGAAGAGGCAGAGCAGGCTCGAGATGTGGACCGAACTCCAACACCGAGCCGAGCCGCATCTGCAATCCGAATTGGAAGACAGAGCCGAGTCGGGGGTGGAAACCGAGCCGCACAAATTGCAGATGGCACCCCAACTCGGGCCAATCAGCAGAGTGCAGATGCACCCACAGGCCTGCCCCTGTTCAGTGCAGGCGACCTGGCAAAACGCCAGGACCTTTTCGCTGATGTCGCAACCTGGGACCTACACCCCCTTCGCGACAGCAGGCAACCACCTCTCGCCCGTCACCCACCTCGCACTCTTCGCGAATCTTTCGCAGCCTGCCTTCTCACCCCGCTGCTACACCTCGCAAAAGACCCTGACTCGCCTGCAGGCTGGAGACTGCTCATGTTCCTCCCGCGCATCCTCTTGCGCACCTCATCAGCCAAGCGCCCAGATTGGTCGAAGGTAGGAGCCAGGCTGATAAGGTTCCGCCAAGGCCAGTGGCGGAGCCTGTACGACGAGGCGGCTGACGCAGTATCCCAACCACCCCAGCCACGCCATGCGCCAGACACCACAGGCATCCTGGCAAGGGCAGAGGGACTCGCCAAACGAGGGAACCTAGCAAAATCCCTCCAATCCCTCACGGCCACGCCAGTCTCCCCCCCCTCAACTGACGTGCTTCGGGCTCTCTCAGCTCGGCACCCCCCTGCGCGCCAATCCATCCCGGAGTGGGTGTCGGATTTCACCACAGATTCCACCCCTTCAATCCCTCCACGCGACTTCAGACGCATTCTCGCCAAATGCCCGAACGGAGTGGGCGCTGGTCCCTCGAGCACCACCTTCGAACACCTGAGGGACGCAGCACTTGGGAATACGGACATCTTCCTGCAATTGCACGCACTCACAAACACGGCGTTAGCCGGAAAACTCAGCGCGGAAGCAGCAGAACTCCTCACTGCGTCACGCTTACTTGCTTTCACGAAGCCCCATGGGGGCACACGGCCTATAGCAGTAGGCGAATGCCTGCTCAGATCAGTAGCAAAAGCGGCTCTATTCTTGGCGGCTGAGAGAGCACGCGATCACTTCGCACCGCTGCAATTCGGGGTGGCGGTAGCAGGAGGCATCGAGGCGGCGGTGCACACGGCAAGGACATACCTGGAGGAGAATGACGGGGCTGTGGCGCTACAAATCGACCTGGCGAACGCCTTTAACGCGGTCGAGCGGGCAGCAGTGTTTGAAGGCCTCAAGGGGACCACCCTGGAATTCATGGTGCCCCTGGTCCGGCTCTCCTATGGTGTCCCCTCGGAACTGCACCTCGACCACGCGTTTCATGCCCCCCCCCTGCAATCCGCGCGCGGCGTACGCCAAGGGGATCCGCTGGGCCCGCTCCTCTTCGCCGCCAGCATTCACCCGTGCCTGGTAGCCGCGGCGGGGGCGCACCCAGAAGTCGTCATCCTCGCCTACGCGGACGACATTACGCTCCTGGGGCTGAGGCGTGCACAGAGGCATTCAATCACCTCACCAGGGCGCTGCTTCCCCTAGGCCTGGAACACAACCCCGAGAAGTGCGCAGCATGGTCGGCCGCGCACATTGACCCCGCCTCTCTTCCGCCGCATGTACCTTTCTCGGCGGACGGGATCCGCGTCCTGGGGAGCCCAATAGGCCCGCAGGCGGGATGCGCGGCGCTGGTACAGGAGCGCCTGTCAGCAGCAGCAGAGCCACTTCCGCTACTGTCACAAATGGACCCGCAGCTGTGCCTGCTACTCCTAACACGGTGCGTGAGCCGCCGCGCCTCCTACCTCGTCAGAACGACGCCCTTGGAGGTGCTGCCAGCGGACACCTGGTCAGAGTGGGGGGAGCAGCTACTACACACTTACCTGACGGCGGCACACACGACGATACCCAGGGAGGAAGCAGAGCGGGGGAGAATCTGGCGGCAGGCCGCCCTGCCCGTGACGCTGGGCGGCCTCGGCATCACCAACCCAGCCACGGAAGGGGTGTTCGCTTACCTAGCCTCGGTCATTTCCACGGCCCACCTGCTGCGCTCGTTCGGCGACACGTTGCACCCCTCAATCGCCCAGATGCTGCCGCTACTAGATGCAGACGCGAACTCACCCTCGGTCCTGCCAAGGCGCCTCGCAGCGGCAGAAGCCACGCTGCCCCCAGATGGACTAGAAGCTCTACAGGCCGGTCGACGCGGGACGGATGGCCCGAAGCTACAGCAGGCCTTGTCGCTGGCCGTCCACACAGCCCGCTATATTGAGGTGCTCGATGCCTCGCGGGAGATGCCCCTGAACCCGCTCTATGGCCACACCCAACGCCTGCAGTCACTCCTCGGCCCCGGGGCGGGAGATTGGCTGCTAGCCATCCCCCTGGTCCCGGCTCTTCGCCTCGGCCCCTCGCATCACTCCACTGCATCCTCCTTCCGCCTAGGCCTCCCCCTTCCCGTCCCTCGGCGCTGCGACTGCCGCCACCGCACGACCTTCCCTGACCACCGCCTACCCAACCACCTCATGCGTTGTGAGAAAGGCGGGGGGAGGATTGCCACTCACCATGCTCTTCGGGATGAGTGTGCGAAGATCGCAGCAGAGGCAGGCTACACGGTGCACAAGGAATCCACAGTGTACTCACCGGTCGAAAACCTCAAAGCGGACGTTTGCATCCGCCATCCCGACACCGGTGAAGTCCACATGTGCGACATCACCGTGACGGACCCGGTCTCTCACCAGAACGAGTTTGCGCGGAAGGCGCCTGGGTGGGCTGCAAGGATGCAAGCCGCCAAGAAAGAAGACAAGTACGCGCGGCGGAACGCATGGGTGGGCTTCCATGCCATGGCGGTTGAGACGTACGGCTACCCGTCCCCGGGAGTGCACGCCTTCCTCCGCAGCTGCGCCGAGCTCGCGGGCAAGCGGCGGTTCAACGCTGCGCCAAAGTCAAGGGAGGTGGCCAGGCTCCTTACGGAGTACCGTCAGCGCTGGAGTGTGACACTCCAGCGCGCCCAGGCCAATGCCCTTCGCGACAAGACCCACGAGGCCATTGCCGCGGATGAGCTTGGCCTGCAAGGCCCGTTTGGCAGCTTGGGTGAGGAGCAGCTGTACCAGCTGCTGGAAGACCCCACAGGCCAGTAGGGCCGTGGGGAGAAGG